TGCTGTTTTATAATCTATAGTTATGCAGCAATCCTACCAATTTAAATATCATTCCATAGGGCATTTTCCCTCATACCCTCACCAATGTCATCTTCCTATTTTTCTCCCTCTCAGTGTTATTGATTGCCTGCCGTTTTGTCACCATTTCCTTTGGGTATCACTTTCGTTGTTGTTGTTGGTTGTAGGGCTTAAAGTCAGAGCCTAGGTCAGGTCCCTTAGCTCTTTTTGCTCAAGGCTAGTGCTCTATCACTTTGAGCTACAGCACCAAGTCCTGTTTTCTGGTCGTTGATTGGAGATAAAAGTCTGTCACAGAGACTTTTCTTTTTTTTTTTTTTTGGGTCCAGTCGTGGGGCCTGAACTTTGGGCCTGGGCACTGTCCCCCAGCTCTTCAGCTCAAGGCTAGTGCTCTACCACTTGAGCCACAGCGCCGCTTCTGGCTTTTTTCGTTTTGCTTATGTGGTGCTGAGGAATGGAACCCAGGGCCTCATGCATGCAAGGCAAGTGCTCTACCACTGAGCCACCTTCCCAGCCCACTTTATTTATTCATTTATTTATTTATTTATTTATTTATTTATTTATTTTTTGGTCCAGTCGTGGGTTTGGGCGCTGTCCCTCAGCTCTTCAGCTCAAGGCTAGCGCTCTACCACTTGAACCACAGCGCCACTTCCGGATTTTTTTTTTTTTTTAATCAGTATCTTCTGTAAGAATATAAACTATGATCTCAGGAGATTGTTTTGTTTACCTATCACCTAACACAGGGGCTGATGTGGGCAAAACCCTCAAGTATTTGTTGAATGAATGCATAAAAATTTTAGCCATTTATAGCTGGGTGCCAGTGACTCCCACCTTTAATCCTAGCTACTCAGGAGGCTGAGATCTAAGCACCATGACTCAAAGCTGTTGCTCAAGTGGTAGAAGACTAGTCTTGGAGGGTGGGGGGAGTAAAAGCTTAGGGACAGTACCCAGCCCCTGAGTTCAATCCTGGGGACTGACATACACACAAAAAACTCCATGTGAAATCATTCCTATAAACACTTCTGTATATTCCCCACTAGATGTTTCTTTTACCCAACTACATACAGTAACAGACATAAAGACGAAAGCTTGTTTGAATCTGCCTAGTCTATGTGGTGACACAAATTTGATATAACCTTTTATATTGTTTCTTTACATTAACACTCTAAAATTTATCAGTTGAAACCCTTTATACAACTAAACAAAAAAGGAAAACATGAAAACTTCTCTGTACTGAGAGTTTCAGTTTAGAAATAGCCTTTAATTTGTTCTATGGCTTCAATCTTTGTGACACATGAGGCTGTCATGAAGAGTGACTGGTCTAGTTGGATTGCCCTCTTTGACGTATTAGTGCTTTGTAGAAAGGCAGGTATACAAATTATGTAAAATGTCTTTGAGGAGTCTCACATCTCTTGTTAGTTGGGTCATGTTCTTTTCCTTTGTGCTGGTCCTACAGCTTGAACTCAGGGCCTGGGCACTGTCCCTGAGGGTTGTTGTTTTTTCTTTTTTCTCAAGGTTAGTGCTCTACCACTTGAGCCACAGTTATACTTCCAGGTTTTTGGTAGTTATTTGGAGATAAGAATCTCACATTTTCCTGGCTGGCTTCGGAACTGCAATCTTTAGATCTCAGCCTTCTGAGTAGCTAGGATTACAAACCTGAGCTTCCATGCCCACCTAAGGTTCATCTTTAAATGGGACTTTGATTCATATAACTTGTTTGCTCAACAGTTTTCTTCTCATTATTAGCTACTTTTTTTTTTTTGGGTCCGGTCGTGGTGCCTGAACTCTGGGCCTGGGCACTGTCCCTCAGCTCTTCAGCTCAAGGCTAGTGCTCTACCACTTGAGCCACAGCGCCACTTCTGGCTTTTTTCTTATGTGGTGCTGAGGAATCGAACCCAGGACCTCAAGCATGCAAGGCAAGTGCTCTACTACTGAGCCACTTTCCCAGCCCTATTAGCTACTTTTTAAAAAAATTGAATCTGCATGAACAACAAGGTCCATTTACCTATAAAACTACAGAGGCCAGTTGGATTCTCAAAATAATACTTTCACTTTTGTATTCATTGTAAACAGGTTTTTGCTCTGGAGATAGTTATAGAAGACATTTTGTTCTGTCCCCAACAGCAGTATTTTTGGAGTGTTTCCTACAGTCAGCTTATTTGCAGAAATGTTTAAAGTAACACTAATTTTACAGCAGCAATTGAAACAAATGTTTCCATTTTGAAAATGTCTGCTGGAAAAATAAAGATTTACAATTCAAATGAATGGGGAGACTGTTAGATTGGTTTAAGGAAAACGGATGTTTATCCTTTTTTTTTCAAGAAACATCATTCAAAATATCCATTATTAAATGTTTCCTGGATGGATACAGTAGATTTTGTGTAAGGCCTTAATAATTATGATTGATAGCATAGATATTAAATTCTCCACTTACAGTAGACAAGTATTTATTAAAATGGGTTTATAACAGTACCAACTGAAAGGCAAGTGCACCAGCCACAGCACATTGCTCCATACCAAACTAAGCCTGTAACCCAGTTTTCTGTTCAAAAAAATTATAATCTAGAGAGAAAATTTTTATATTTTCCCCAAAGAATGTTTATTGTCCTTTTAAAGATAGTATTGAAGTGAAATCTGATCTCAACTTTGTACAGAATGACATAATTCAGATATATTTTTTCTAAATCTAAAAGCCAGTGAGCTCAAGGTTTATAGAGGTGAGGACTGTTTGTATTGAATTGGCATTTAGCAATGTGCTTCTGATTTCTAAGCAATTTTGTTGACTTTTACAACATTCATTAAAAAAAGAAATAAATGAGTCACTCAGCTTATTGAACATAAAGCAGCTTGTTATCTAGCAGTACTAAATATTTTAAAAGGTAAAAATGAAAGGTAAAATTGAAGAGCAAAGGATGTATATTTATTGTATATTTGCAGCTTGTTATTGGATGTAATAACAACTGGAACCTCTGTGCTTCTTTCCTCTCTGTTTCTTTCTCACTTTTTTTTATTTGTGCATGTCCTGAGGCTTGCACTCGTTGCCTGGGCACTGTCCCTGGGCTTTTTGGCTCCAGGCTGGTGCCCTGCCATTTGATCTAGAGCTCCATTTTTGTCTTTTTGGTAGTTAATTGGAAATAGTCTCATGGACTTTCCTGCCTAGGCTAGCTTCAAAGCTGGATTCACAGATCTCAGCCTCCAGAGTAGCTAGAATTACAGGTGTGAGCCCCCAGGGCCTGCCTTGTCCTTATTTCTAACTATACAATTCGAGAAAAGCAAAACCTGGACAAGACCTCCCAAAAACCTTTTGATCTAGTTCCTTATTTTCAGGAAGGTAAATAAACAATCCCCACTGGCTAGTGTTTCACGAACACAGTCTGGGACAGAGACAATCTTTCCAGATAAAAGAGGATTTGTTTTGGTTCCAGGCAACAGTCTTGTTTTTCTTGAGTTACCTGTGAGTTCCCACTAAGGTGAGATACATTTTGGTGCACTAACTTGGTATTCTCACAAAAGTGATTAGACCATTTGATTAAAATTATTACCTTTTTTGTATAAGAAATAGGATCTTGTTATCACCCCACGCTGTCCAAGTTCCCTGGATTCTTCTGGCTGATTTTCAGAGATATTTGGGACTACGTGCCACCAAGTCTATTCTATATAGAAACCTAGGACAGAGTCAAACTTCTGGCAAGTTGGGTAGCAGTAGGATTCACACCAAAGACTGACTTTATCTCTGCTGCTTCCCAAGAGATTGGGTATGTTCACCTACATAAAGGGAAATAATAAAATCAGTACATAGAAACCTGAGCTGTTTCAGAAATTTTCCTTGGACAATACAAAAGAATGATGAAGTAATGCTATTCAATAGCCGATTAAACTGTATTCTACAGCCAGGCAACGTTGGCTCAGGCCTGTAATCCTAACCGCTCAGGAGGTTGAGATCTGAGGATCGAGGTTCTAAGCCAGCCTGGGCAGAGAAGTCCAGGAGACTCGGCTCCAATTAACCACTCAAAAACCGGAAGTGGCGCTGGGGCTTCAGTGGTAGAGCATTAGTTAGCCTTAGGCACAAAGAGGCTCAGGGACAGCGCCCAGGCCCTGTGTAAGCCCTACAAAAATCCACAAAAACAAAACAACCTCCCTCCCGTATTCTATATTGAATTACTCAGAGCGCCAAATCTAGCCATAAAAAAAAAAAAAAAAAATCAGTGCCTCGGTGTGGAAGAAATTGGCTACAAATCCCCTGGACTTTTGTCATCAATATTTCAACCCATAATTTAGCAAACAACACACACACACACATATCCCTTGTTAGGGGTAAAGTTTCGGGTCTTCTTTCTGGGCCTCAGTTTGGAGAAGCGGAGAGTCTCAGACGGGTGACTAAGGAAAAGAATAGCGAATCACATCTAAAAGCGAATTCTGGGGAGTTAGAAATCTGTAAAATCTGTGATACAAAGGAAGACAATTACGGCATTCTAGGGCCTTTTACCCTTAACAGCTCTCCCTCCCAGCCAACCAACCTACTCCCCTCCTCTTTCCGGGGGGCGGGGGGGCGGGGAGAGGCCGAAGCGGGGATGGTGGTCCTACCCGGGCCTGAGCTGTTGGCCGGGGGGAGCGGGAAGAGCTCAGTAAGAGCAGGGCGGGGTGCTCGGCAGAATCCGAGTGCGTGAGGAGGGGGCCACAAGCCAGGCCGACGGTGTAAGAAAAACGAGGCTTTGGTCAAGGTTACAGCGGCGTGAGAAGCCGCGCCTCGTGCGCGCGCACTCACGCACGCACGCACGCACGCACGCTCGCGGGCGGGGTCCGCCGTCTACCCACCTCGCTCGCCCCGGCCGCCGGCAGCCAGCCCCGCTAGGCGGAAGGCAGAGCGGCTCCAAGCTGGGCCCGGCCCCCGCGCGTGCGCAGCAGCTCCTCCTCGCCTCCTCTCCCTCTTCCTGGCGGGTCTGGGGCGGCGGCGGCGGCGGCGGCGGCGGCGGCGGCGCGGTGACGTCAGGGCGTTGGGGCAGCTCCTGTGACAGACGGAGCTGGAGCGGCGGGGCGGCGGCGGAGTCCGGCGGCCGAGGATAGCTAGTGAGCGGGCGGAGGAGCAGTGCCCCCGGGGCCTAGGCAGCGAGAAAAGAGCGGCAGGGGAGCGCTCGGGCGCGAGCGAGGACCACCGCGAGCGCCGGGCGACGGCTCGAGCCCCGGAACGGCCGAGGAGCCCGCCCGCAGCCCTCCCCTCCCCCTCCCCGGGCCCGGGCCCAGCGCGCCATCCTCCCCCTCCCTCCTTCCCTCCCTCCCTCCTTCCTCCCTTCCCTCTCCCTCCCCCTCCCCCGCCGGTGGATGGGAGTGAAGGACGGAAGAGGCCCTGCGGAGGCGGCGGTGCAGCGCTCCGGTAAGGCGGCGCGGTCTGCGCCCTTCCTCTCCTCTGTCTCCTTTACCGCGCTCGGGCGGCGGCGGGCTGGGCCCGGCGGCCTGACGATGTGGCCGCGCCGGTCCCCTCCCTCCCATTCTCCCCTCCCCCTGCCGCCGCCGCCTCCTCCTCCTTCTTCTTCTCTCCTCGCTCTCAAAATGGCGGCCGCGACGGCCGTTGAGTGAGTGGCACGGAGGAGGGGGGCCCGGCCGGGGAGGGCGCTGCCCTCGCTCGCGTCCTCCGGCCGGGGATCCGCGGTGCCGGCGCCGCCGCAGCTCCACCCGCACGGCATTCTCCCCCCCCCCCCACGCGGGATCGCCCTCCTCCCGCCGTGACTTAGCAGGAAAAGTATTCTTGGGTGGGAAGGGCGTGGAGATCAGGTCGAGCTGTGATCTTGGGGAAAGGGCTCGACGCTCTCCTCCTGGGCTGCAGAGGCGAGCTCCGCAGTCCCCACCCTTCCGCGGTGTCGGCTCGGGGCCTGGGCTCGAGCACCCACACGGCCTTCCAGGCGTTCCGTCCCCCACCTGTCCTTAGGATGATGAGGTTGACTTGACCAGGGTGGCCCGCCAGCCTCCCCCCTCCAATCCCCCCCCCCCCCCCCCAGTGTAGCATCCTGGAAGGACGGGCGGCCCGACCCCGGGAAAGATCTGCAGCATTCATCCGACAAAATCGAGTAGGGTTTTTCTTTTCTGCTACTGGCTCCTGGGACGGGAGTTGTCTTTTGATGTTGTGCACACAGAGCTTCGAGGTCCCCTGTTCATCTAATCTCATCTCTCCACTCTTTGGAAACGCAGTGCCTGTATTTACCCTCTCTAGCCTCCCAGGTGAGAAATTACCTTTTGCTTCTTCCCGATCTAAGTAAACATCACAGCAGAGAGCCAGAGGAGGTTTTCAGTACGTGAAATAGGAAATAGCAAGGTGCCTAGCTTTATTTGTTATGCTGCCTTTCTTCAGTGACTTAGCAAGAAACTCATTGGGAGGAGGGCAGGAGATTTTTCCTTTGACGTTGAGATTTGGGTCTAATTCATGTCAGTCCTTTTGGTTAAGAAATTGTGCTTTTGAAGAGAAGCACCAGATTTGTGGTCTCTTCTCAATGGGCGATGTCATGCCAAGATTCCCCTCCCCCTTTCCTTAAGGAGTAATCTGGAGAAAATAAAGACATTACTGTAATTCCAACCTCTAAGCTCACAATCCTGAAGAGTCATAACGTTTTAAAGGCAAAACAAAAAATGTAGCCATTTTTAGCAATTCCATTTTTGTTGAGGGTGGGTTGTTTTGTGTGAATTTCTTTTTGAGGCTAGGGCGGAGAGGACTGTGGGCCTTTCATACTAGTAATATTGTCACCCCCTTTACCACAGGAGTGTTTGCTTAAATATCTTCCCCCACCCCCACCTCACGTTGCAGAGCTTGATTACTGCAGGGTTCAATCCCTTAATCAGGAATATTTCCTACTTTGGGAATGCCCATTTTGATACGATGGTGGATGTGTATAAAAAGCTCTTACTTAAAACGTTCTGATTTGGTTTTAAGGCATTAGCTAGCTTTTAATCTCTAATGGGTGTCTGTCCGGACATACTTTTGCAAAATACTTGGCAGTTGCAAATTGGAGTTTTTTTAACATAGAAATGTAATCTGTATTTGGGGGTGTTTTATTTCATGTTCTATTATAAATGATCATTGTTTGGATTGTTCGGAGACTATTCCTAAAAGAAATGTGAAATTAGTATGTATTTTTTTAAAAAAGGAACCTCGTTTTTCATATAACATTTCTGCATATGTTTACTGGACCAATCCCTATTTTGGTACATCCTCCATCTCCTTTTTAAAAAATGGGCTAATATTTGTGGATGCTGTGAACAGCCATTGAGCTGAGAAGACTGGGTGGAGTAAGAGAGCAGAAGCTGTGAAATGCTAGATTGCCCCTTCATAGCATTTTTTTCTCTTCCTTGTATTTTGCAACTAATTTGATACTAATTATAGCCAAAACAAAAACATTTCTCTGTAGTAAATCTTAATGTTTCATGTCTTATAGGATTTTCCACCTTCCCCTTCTTCCACCCTACAGTATAGGCATTGAGTAACTGGAATACAAGCAGTGTCCCTCCTCAAGCAGGCACTTATTGTCTATTTTTGTGTGTTCATATATATGTAAACTACCTAGGCATAAATTTAAGCTCTTATGATTTTTGGTCATTCTGGTCAAATAAGTATAAATTAATAAATGCCAGAAATATTGGGGAAGAAATAGGAGTCGCTATACTATTTAAAAAACCCTTAGAATCCGACAAATGTTTTCTTTTAGTTTAGTTCACACTGAAACAGTAGTCTGTTTTTGATTTTAAGTAATGAGCATCAAAGATGAGAAAATAAAAGGATAAAATAATTTGCATTGAAGGCTACTTGGTATTAAAAATTTCTTTTTTCAGAAACATCATGAAGTAGGGAAGGTCCTTTAATTGGAGTAGTCATTTTTTTAAGAGTATTAAAATTACATAGTAAATGACATTTTGGTCAACATTACAAGTGTATCCCAATTTATAACCTTACATTTTTGTTGTTTTTAATATGATTAGAAAGTAGATGGGTTAAGACAGGAAGGAATGAGTCAGTTGGGAATATTAATTCACCATATGGTATGTTTGACATACCCCATCCTTACTGTTCATAGTTACAAAAGCCGCATACTGAGTGGTGATTTTTCAATGACTATGAGCTTAATGTAATTTGGTCTGAGTAAGAGAGCAACGTGTGTGTGTGTGTATGTGTGTGTGTGTGTGTGTGTATGTGTATGTATGTGTGTGTGTACGTGTTTCTGTGTGTGTGTGTGTGTGTGTGTGTGTGTGTGTGTGTGTGTGTACGTGTTTCTGGTAAATCTGACCCTGAATCTTTTGCCAAATTTTGAGATCAACTACTTTAATTTTTTACAATCTTGTAATTATAAAACTTGCATTGTGATGGGATGAATTTCATTTCTTAATAGTAGTAGCTTTTTGAGTATATTTTAAAATTTTATTGTGTAATTTTCCAGATAAAGTATTTCTGGTGTGGAAGAGATTTGGAGATGCTTTGCAGAAGGAAAAAATTAATATCTCATAGTATTTGCCTTTTTAGCGCATCCATGTTGAATTGTCTATACTAAAGAAAAATAATTTGTTTCCTCTTAGTTATGTTCTAAGTTGGCAGAGATGAGTATCCAGGAAAAAATAAGACCTTTTTGTTTACATGTTGTTCATATTCACAATTTGTCACCTTAATAAGTAAGCTGTAAAAATTAGAAGTTGTCAGTATTAAGATAAAACTGTCTTAATAAACAAGCCCAAGGCAAAATATTACAATATATTTTCCAACTCTTCCCATTAAGTTCTAAAGCAGTGAGTCATGCATGCCTTTTCCAAAGGGACTTAAAGCTCAGTTGGTTTTAAGTGGACCTGGCTTGTGATACTAACTAAAATAAAAGAGATTGTCTTTTTGTAGAAGTACTTGGCTGATGGAACCTAGGAAATTATATCTGTGTTTGTTGATTGTTCCTGGAGCTTGAACTCATGATCTTGACGTGGTCTCTACCACTTGAACCACAGCTCTGCTTCCAGCTTTTGGGTGGCTAATTGGAGATAAGAGTCTCACTTAGTTTTCCTGCTCAGATCTTCTGATCTCAGTCACCTAAGTAGCTAGAATTGGAGGCCTGAGCCATCCATACTGATCCCCAGACAGATTTTTTTTTTTTTTTGGGTCCAGTCGTGGGGCCTGAACTCTGGGACTGGGCACTCAAGGCTAGCGCTCTACCACTTGAGCCACAGCGCCACTTCCGGCTTTTTTTCTTTTTGCTTATGTGGTGCTGGGGAATTGAACCCAGGGCCTCATGCATGCAAGGCAAGCGCTCTACCACTGAGCCACCTTCCCAGCCCAGACAGATTTTTTAATTGAACTTTCTTTGTTATGATAGGTAACCTTTGCCACCAATCTTCTTTTTTTTTTTTTTTTTTTGGTCCTGGGCCTGGGCGCTGTCTCTCAGCTCTTCAGCTCAAGGCTAGTGCTCTACCACTTGAGCCACAGTGCCACTTCCGGCTTTGTTCTTTTTGCTTATGTGGTGCTGAGGAATCGAACCCAGGGCCTCAGGCATGCAAGGCAAGCACTCTACCACTGAGCCACCTTCCCAGCTCCTGCCACCAATCTTCTGTAAAACAACAACAACAAAACCCACACAAATACATCTTACTTGACAGGTTGCTTTAAGATGAAACTAATGGTCTACAGTATGAATACTGAAAAGCAAATCTATTCTGGAGATTTTAGCTGTAGAGTGAATCCTAGTTGTTGATGATCAAACATTTTGGGAAATTTTTTACTTCATGAGGAAAGATGCTGTATTATGGTAAGCCTAATAGTTAATTGCAGTGAAGACTTTTTGTATTCTGGTTTGGTATGACACTTTGCACAGTCATTTAAATGAAAGTTTAACTTGTGCTAGATATATAATTTTTATCCTTGGCACTGCAGTCGACAGGTTTTAATTGGTATTTGTACTTTATAGTCATTGGATACGGGCCTCATAAGTGCTTATTTTTTTTTTTTTTTTGGGTCCGGTCGTGGGGCCTGAACTCTGGGCCTGGGCACTGTCCCTCAGCTTTTCAGCTCAAGGCTAGTGCTCTACCACTTGAACCACAGCGCCACTTCCGGCTTTTTTCTTTTTGATTATGTGGTGCTGAGGAATCGAACCCAGGGCCTTGAGCATGCAAGGCAAGTGCTCTACCACTGAGCCACCTTCCCAGCCCCAAGTGCTTATTATTTTGATTTATTGTTTTCACTTTAAAGGATGGTGATATTTAGTCGAAAACTTGTAGTTAGGACTAATCTGCATTTGTCAAGGATACCTTTGGAATGGTATTCTCTAAAATGTTACCGTTTAACATTGTCATAAACATTCCTGTAAAACCTTGTTGCTGTTGAGCTTGGTATCCATTTTTATTTGTTCTCTGACTACT